TGCTCATCTGATTCAGGAAAAGCCGTTGTTTTTGCTAACCATCGAACTCTCTTTAGTCTCTTAGTAGAGTCAATCTCCTATAATCTGGGGATCGTTTAGTGTACTGCTACTAACTCCATTTCCATGCCTCAAGCATAACGCTAGCGTTCAAAGCGTCTTATAAGAGATGAGTGGATGATGGTGTGTTCGATCTTTTGAGTTTTCCATTTGGGCTTTGAAGGACTTTTTGAGGCAATTTCGATGATGTCGTAGTCGCTGCTTCACCGAATTCAAGAGAAGAATGCTCACATCAACGGACAGAGCAAACGAAAGGAAGCATTTGAATGTATTTATTTCAAATGGCAGGCGTTATGATAGCTATCACTAGCCATTTAGCTGACTTCGGGCTTCACAGAAGGAAGGTTCATCAAAGTAGCAGAAAGTCGAGGGGTGGGGAATAGAAGAGCGATTCACAGATGTAAAAGAGGCAGACAGACACAAAGGTAGAGAAAAAGGTAAGATGAATATTGTGAAAGGGGTCGAATATGACAAGCAGTCGGGCCATGGTATTTTGAAGTCAGAAGTCTACTGCCGGTTAATAGACTTTTTTGCCGTATGAGTATACGTTGCCCAGGGTGCACCGCGTGGAGGTAAGTCTATCACAGCCCCATTTGAATGTAGTTGTCGAAAATCAAACCAGCTTAATAGAACAAATTTTACCAGGGCAAAAGCTGGAAAATCGTATTTGAATTGATTGAACTGTATATATATTCTGATCATTTATTAACTTGCTAGTGTTATCACGTTTATGCCTTATTAGCAATTTGCAAGTCTTGTCAGTTCCAAGTCCGAAAAATTCACTCGTAAGGTAACAGCCGTATAACTGCTGGGAGGAAGTTATAGAGAAGTGCGTCCATGATGTTTTAATGCTATTTTATTCTCCATCTCCCATGTGTTTTAGGTCTTCACTCACAAGTCGGATGTCTGGAGTTTCGGCGTTATGCTCTGGGAGCTCTACTCCTTCGGCCGTCTTCCATACCCCCGCTTGGTAAGTGTGCCTCCTCAAGTAACTCCACCCTTCTAGGTAGCTTATCGCCTTTCTTATAAATTTCATGCATTGTATCGGTGGTAATTACTCTTCGATGACTAATCGCCTTATATGGGACACAGAATTTCCACTTCCTGGACGTCAACATATTATTTGCTAACGTAAATGCCCTAGTTCTTGAATGGCTAGCTCGAAAACTATTTAGCTGCGAAAATAAGAAGCAAAATATGGGCATCTTAATTGAATTCAACTATTATGTCACTGTTACAAGATTACATTTATGGGTCATCTCTCCTAGTAATCTGTTACAAATGAAGAAGAATTAACTTCCATCTCGTTTAAATAAGAGTTCTTAATTGTGAAGAGTATTTGTCAGTGTAGACCATTAATTCCGCCAAAACGTTGAAAATCGATATTAGTGCAACTTCTACTTGTGCGTGAATAATTCGATAGCTTGTCTGTGTGTGTGGTTTGTTAGATGACAAACCAAGTCCTGGCCCATCTTGAAGCAGGAGAACGAATGGAAGCTCCACAGGACTGTCCGCGTTTCATATACTCTCTCATGCTGGAGACATGGTCCGCAGAGCCCTCTCGACGACCCTCCTTTGAAGCGATCCTTGCAAGGCTCCAAAGTTCGCTTAGTAGAGAGGATTTAGAGTATGCCGCTGCCTTCCAACAACACAGCACTGGAGATACTAGCGGAAGTAGCGCCTATGATATCATCTTTGATGACAAAGTCGCTTAAGTAAGGAATTTAATTTTTAACATATCTTGAAACTGCCAAGGCGATTTTGCTTGCTTCAGTGAAGTAAGCTATTAATGTTAGTAGGAAGCTTTTTTTGTTGTGCGATGTGCATGAAACTTAGGAATGTAAATCCATAGAAAGATAAAATGGGGAAGAACAAACGAAGAAGAATTGTTTCAGTATTGATAATTAAAATATACTATCTTCAACTAGTAAAATCAAATCGCTTGTGCCATAATTAATGTAACGGCAATATTGCTAGCGCCAAACCGAGGCAATACTATGGATTGACCGTTCTGTATTAATAATATATTTTGAGAAATATCTGAGATGGATAGATAGGCAGTAACATAGTGGCAACTAGGGATGGGTTTCCAATAAACTGGAATTAAGCATTTTTACTTTAAGGATTTATGCCACCGGAAAGACTGAATAAACATATACGCTCCCTCTTGGATTTTGAGGAAGATCCGAAGCTCATCTCTGTTAAATAGTTATATCCTAAACTCCTATTAAAAATTGATTAAATTTATGATTTCTAGCCTAATTGTCTGTTAATTGGCCTATAAATCACACTTCCTTTTATTCGCGCTTTAGGAGAACCAGCGGTACTCGTAAACATCGTTCTATAAATGCACATTTTCGCCGTCCTGCTCCTTTCGACCATCATTTCGCCTTTCTCGTGCACTTTTCCTCCGCGCCTTCCATTATTATTCTGTGTACAGTATATGTATAATACACATTAAATTGATCAATTTATTCCAATGAAAAGCGATGATGCGCAATCTAAGGCGGTATCTAATGCAGCACTAATACTCCCCTATCACGAATTTCTCATCCATGTAACAAGAAGAATATGAAGGTTTGCATCTTCGGCTCAATATCGCCAAAATACGAGTTCCTCCTATAGTACAACTGGAAGTTGTAGGGTAAAGCGATGAAAGCTGTACAGTTAAATTATAAAAAAAACACTAATTTCAATCGCGCTTCTCAGTTTTGCATTTATCTCAATTTGCCAGTAATCTGATGCTCTGTTCTAAATGCGTTATCGCATTCAACAATCAGAACAACTGAAACTAAACTATAGAAGTTACAATACTTAAACTTTAATAACCCTAAAATGGAGCTCTTCATCGAATACGGAATGGAATATTCACCCGCTTTACAATCATCATTGTATGCTCAGAAATATATATTTATTTCAAACAGCAGGCGTTTTGATAATTATCATTAGCCCTTTAGCTGACTTCGGGCCTCACAGAGGGGAGAAACATCAAAGTGGGAAAAATTCGAGGAGGGACAGAGGAGTGATTCACAGATGTAAGAGACAGACAGACACAAAGGTAAGATGAGTACTCTGAAGTGATGTAATATGACATAGTGACGGGTCATCGTAATTAGATGTCAAAAGTATGCACTGGCCAGGTTGCACCACGTGTAGGTAAGTCCATCGCACACCCCGTATGCTTAGAAATAGATCCTTAACATGCTAGGAAACACATAAAACATCCTGTTTGTCCCGAATGGAGGGTGTAGATATAAAATTCAATCATGTCTCAATTTAGGTGTGTGACATAAACTCAAAAATCCAGAGACATACTTCCATGTTTACTTGGAAAATTAGAATTCCGGTAAAGATATCAAGAGAAATCAATAAAATATTCAATTTCAATAGCCAATAAAATCAAAACGAGATAACCAGTACAGAGGTCAGGGTTAATAATTCCACAGCCAGAAATATGTGTTCGGTAGGTCCTTTTTTCATCTCGTAGCTTCCAAGAATCGTTTGACTTCCGATTGAAGCTTCGGTTTGTAATCCGATCGGAGGGAGATAAAGCTCGCAAGAAGCTCCTTCGGAATACCAGATTGTTCATAGTCTTGCCACACCTGTCGAACATTCTGAGGTTTGATCAGCATTAAATTCATTAATTTTAAAAGAATATCGAACAGATAGTCGATTTTAGCGCTTTGGCATCCACAAGCTGTATCTCTGTAGGCTGTAACGTCTTGCATTGCAACGAAGCCCCCTGGATAAAGATAAAATAGCAAGAAATGCCCTCATTAACCCGTGCTGTTGGGGATTTGGAGTTCATAACTCTTTACTGGGCAATGAAGAGAGGATGCGGGCAATCAAACTCACCCTAGAGATGTATCAAAGTTAAAAACTTCCTTTGCTTAGGATGGATATTAATGACTTGGAGACAATGTGCGACTGAAAACAAATACTGTCCGAAGCCAATAGATGGTACTACTTATTGCTTTTCTTTAGGCTTGATACAAACTTATATGGGCTGGATGAACGTTCCCCACGTTTAAGATTGAATGAGCAATAAATAAGCGGACAAGTGATTTCACAGTGAACGGCAGTTATTTATTAAACAAAGTCATTACATTTTTCATAAATACAACACTGCGCACCCCAATCACATAAACTGGTAGATATAGGATTAGTCAAAATAAAATACACTTCAAACGTTGGGAAATAAAAAAGGCTTATTAAAATAGTCCGAATTCTTAGATACTTGCGTACTTACCAGTATCTGAGAAGGAATAGCCATAAAAATGATCGACCAAAAGACGGTGGAATCGCAAACCCAGCTCAGAGAGGAACGTGCAGAGGTTACGACCGTCCAGGTTCTGAAGAGCATTATCAATCACCTTTCTAAGGAATCTGCAAACATCTTGACATGCCTAAAAGGTGAAATATCTTCGCTAACACTCATTTTAAGTGGGGGACTTACACAAAGAAACGGGTATGGCGTGACTGGAGGCTTTATGCTTGCACAAATGTATATAACATAAACAATCTGGCAATTAAGTACAGTACGAACCCAACACATACAAATAAATATAATAATGTAATCTGATAAATGAATTTATTTTCACGTCATTATATTAGACAAACATACCGGAGAGCATGCAGACATCTCAGAGCCCACTCCAGGATTCACCATAGACGAATTAGATGGGAGTAAATCAGTCTTAAAGTCCGCCTTCCGTTGTTCATTGGAAAGTATTAGCTGGATCCTCGTCAAAGCTAAAGTTAAGCACTGCTCTAAACCCATGGAGAGCTTTTCCTCCAATCGACATTTTAGTTGCTGACGTCTTGATTGGCAAACTTGCAATTGTTTTAGGCTTCCTCTGTACGACGGAATTATTAAGAAGAGGAAACAGGTTCACTTAAAGATAGAAAAATCTTCCACTCTGGTTTAAATAAGATATTTGAACTCCCAACCCCATATAGGAAATGGATCATCTATCGCTTGCCTTCGATAAAGAGATAGTATCTTGGATGTGCACATCGGCATCGAACCCGAAATATATGGGGCTCGCAGTCGAGCATTTTAATAACCAGCTAATGGCATCACGACTTCATTTAATTCTAATTATGAATAGGCAGAAACGTGTGAAGCCCGAATTAAGATGTGGTTGTACTTGAGAAATTATCGTAGCTAATTGGTCAAAACATGCTCGTCGAAAAGTCACTTTTGATAATATTTACCCTTTTAAGACAACACTATTTCTGAATTAGGATTGCGTAAAAATAATAGAAAAAATGAAACTGTGGTGTATGCCTTGAAGTCATCAGTAAGTTGAGAATATACAGGAAACGTTTAGAAGCACGATTTGAACCAAGTTGAAATCAGAAGAGTAGCTATTCAGGAAATAATTAAAATTAATGCGAAACGAAATACTGCTTCAATGTTCGAAGAAATATTGTTTGCTATCAGAAAGGGAGCGGACTATGAATAAGGAGAGACAAAGTGAAGTTTGCCAATTATATATCTTGTCCATTAAGCGATAGGACTCATTGGTATACATGCAGTTAAATAATAAGCGAATGAAATACCTCCAAATAAACTCTTCCTAATAATAAAGTTAAAAATAAAACAAAAGTTGCGACTCTTGATTCATCAGGATCCAAATAATTGCCATGACATGATACCTTAAAGCTCATCGGAAACAGTTATACTGGGCGCTAAAGGCATTCTAGAACCTCACATTTCGAGTAACTCGCATTCAGACAATTCGACCGATCACTCTAAATAATGAACGAACCCCGATTTCATTATCCCAAGTGTACACTAGGGCGGATATTGTATAACTGTGGAAAATTAAGTGGAGCTTACGAAAGAAGAGGTCCAATGAATTCACTGACGGCTTTATCAAAGAAGCCAAAAAGAGTAGTGCTCTCATTTACGGCCGCAAAGAAGGTGAAAGTTGGATCAGTGTACTTTGGATCCCCACTGTTCAAAACTATAAAACAATAAAAGGTGTAAATAAAGTACTGATCTTTAGAAGATAAATAGATAGAGATCCAGCAGGGTTAGTAACAACAGTGTGTTCTCACAAAACGTATAGCTCCGAGAAAAACATGAGTTCAGCTCCCGTGAACGTGATGGGACGCGCCTAAAGATAAGCGTGGCGGATAATGATGATGACCTTTTTAATTTTTCAGAACTATTCTAAACTGACCGCAACTTGAACCTGTGCACTGAGTGCACTTTGGGAAATCGATTGATTCAGGAACACTAGTATGAAGCTCAATTACCCACCAAAGAGGAGAAAGACTGATAGTCAATTTGAGTTTGTCCACTCACCTTGCAAGGCCATACTGATTCCGTAATCAATATGTTCATTGATTAAGTAGCGAACTAGCATGTCCAGCATCTTCAGACCGATTGATGGTCGATCTTCGGGCTTGGTTAACTAAAAGGGAAAATCGGCCGCCAACTGAGGTTCAGAGATAAGCACACAAGAAGGTGGTTGAGTTATTTGAAGTGAGATGAAGTCTTGCCATGGTATGAGCACAATAAAGCATATATCAAAAATAGGCAGGACATTAACACAAAAGTCAGCATGACCTGCCACAAGCATCTGAATAGAAGATAATATGGACAAACTAATGGAGAATACATTAAGAGTTTGCGTTAGCAAGAAAAAAGCGTTACGAATCTACGAGGTCAATTATCTCACTCTTTGCATTGAAGAAACAAGAACTTCAACCATTTATTGTCATTATTGCGCAAAAGATATTAAAGGAAAGGTGGGGTTTCGAAATGAAGTAGAGAACAAAAGTCAGGATGACAAGACTATCTCTAGTTATACTCTGATTTCATTAGATTACTCAATTTTTATTCTAAAGGTATCGTCTTGCTCTGGTATTAATAACATTAACCCTCCAGTGTTGGAATGACCAGAATGGAATATTTAAGAAGTGAACACAAATGAATTTTGCCTGATTCCCACATTGTTTAGAAAAAAAGCACCATGGATTACTCTTACCATCATGCATCGTTTAGTTGATTGCCGAACATCATCCAACATGTTGACAGCAACTTCTTGTGAGAGAAGCAACTCATTTGTAGGAGATTCCCGACCACTTCCGCTACCACTGGTGATATGTAAGCGGTTTTGAACTGCATTTTTCAACTCTGAGAACCTAGTGAAGAGGAAATCATATTACTTCGATTCATTTCGCCTCTTTGAAGGGGTGATGCAAGTAGTGAGATGAAATTTAAATGGTTTATCTATGCAATTATGGGAAGTATAAAATATTTTCAAGCGAAATGGTTTCTATCTCTGATGACGTAATGTTTAGGCAGAATTCACAACACAATTGTCCGAAGGACACTTATTGAAAGAAGCTGATTTTTTTACCAATTGACCCATAGAAGTATTGCTAATTATTTGCTTTATTTATTAATAACTTGGTGACTTCCGGGACAAGACTAATGATAAACTTACTCCACTCCACAATTTTAACGGATAATTCCGAATTGATGGCTCAAATTTATGGGCTACCGTTATGTAGAATTGTAATTAGACCATGTAATTAGCTAATCAATAAGAAATTGTACTAAAAAATCACGAATATTACTTTTAAGTTAATAAAATATTATGGGATGAGAACAAATAAGGTCTCAAACCAAAGTGCAAAAATAGGCCATGATAACCTATAAGCATACGTTGTGAAGCAAATAAAATGAGAAAAAAACGGGCAAGAAAAAATAAATGCACACAACACAGCACATAGGGGACCCACAAACTTCTTACAAGAACTGTTAGAACAAACAAACAACCTAGTTAATTTACTTTCCTCCACCAATAATCTTACATGTAATTCCAAAATGATACTTCAACTGAGGTGTCTTTCACCACCTCCTCTGGCTTACACGCACCAACATCATTCTCAAATTCAAATACCTCCTTATTTCTGGTCAAAAACAAAATGTAAGTTGCTGAATAACCTCGAAATGATAAATTAAGTTTTCTTTTTATAACTAACTAATTCATCAACACTGATGAAAGCATGAAACCTTTTAATTTTAAACATCTTCCGATAACAAGTGAGTCTTGACATTTTCGAGAAATAAACATTTGATTTAAGTTTCTTATACAATTTCGCGCTTTTGGAAACACGTTACAACGAAGTGCAAACATAAATTTTCTGCTCAAATTATTTCTCGCCAACCTTTCACCGTGTTCTACATTGAAGAAAGTTGAACCCTACAATTAATGCCAAGCAATAGATTTGATCTTTATTATCCTCCTTCATATAAAGACCCGTTTTTCGGTCAAACGCATCACTGGACATGCACACAAATGCGTTTCAGCCTAACCTCTATACTGAATACTGCAAGTTACTTGAGCCTTCTTTTTGGTGGGATATTTTAGCTCCCCTAGTTTCAATTGACATACGCGACAAACACTATTATTACTACTCAAACAAGTAAAGGCTTACCCGGAAGAGTTTACTGATTTTTTTTGGTGGTTTTGAGAGACATAATAGGAAGCGAGTTGACTCCGAAGATGATCGTTGAGCCAACTGATTTCTCGAAATTGGTAAACAGAGAGAACATCATCCGCTAAGATACCTAGCAACTTGTAGAGTTGGGACTCGTCCGAAAGTAACTGAAGACGATCAATAAGTTGGAAAACGAGGCGATCCAAGCTATACGCCGACAAAATATTTGTATACAGTTGAACATACAAAAATCATAAGTAGGCACAAAACATTCTCTATTCTGCTAACATAAGAAACAAATGACATCTAACATCTACCGCTTGCAGGGTAAACACTTTAATCCTCTAAACGTCAATATAGTTATATTGTCAAATAGAGAATTTCATATTTAACTAATAGATCAGAAAAACTGAAATTGTATTGATGGGTGTTTTGCAATGTACTAACACTAAGCCTTATTTTCTCTTTTAAAATTACTTATCTCTCCCACCAGAATTTGTCACCCAATTCCTTTTATATAAAATTAAACATTTGTACATAGTCCAAGTTCGTATATAAACTCCTACTGAGTAAGTGAATGCATTTTCATATGTTATGAGATTTTAAACTTCGTTAAGAGAGCAAATTAATGAAGACCATTTTAGACAAATTCCAAATCAAACCGAAATTTGGGACACGTGTATTGTCATCGAGGCTTACTTAAATACTTCCACAGTAATAACATGAGAAAACGTAAAGTGTTATTCAATTTTTTATGCCAGCAAATTAACTTATAGACTGGTCGGTCTAACCCGTAACCTTGATTCGGTTAATAAACTGAACGAAATAAATAAAAGGCTCCTTAACGGTAAACAAGTAGCGAAGATTTGAAATTGGGAATTAAAAAAGGACTACGTCAGAAAAAAAATAAGTAGAAAAGAACTATTGATTTGTGATTGTGAGGACAAATCGAATTGGTAAGTGAGAACTAAGCCAAAATATTAAGTCAGGTCCCATACCAAATCGAGTAAAAGGTAAATAACCGATAATAAAATCAAGTCGTAATCAAGTAGAAAACACACTTGCTATATTCAGTATAAAGATTAGTGAGAAACGCGTCGGTGGGCATGTCCAGAGAAACTTTGGATTGAAAATGGGCCTATAAAAGCATAAAAATGAGAGATAAGATCAAAAAATTAGTGATAATAAAGACTGTTCGATACCAACCTTTAAATTACGATAAAAGAGGGCCTGAATTAGATGTATAACAACACTATCTGGTCGTCTGAAAATTCGGATAATTTTTGCCTCCGTTTGCGAAAGAATATCAGGTAGCATAGTAAGGTCACCCAAATCTGAAGGAAGACACTAAAGAGGAAGGTTATTAATGGGGAATGAAAATAACCTTGAGAAATTCATCGATAAAAACCTCTACACACCCCGACTGACTTCGTGAATACGAGAGGACGTCTGCAATTCGCCGCATCATATCATCATTCTCAGCAGCAAAATTGTGCCTAAACCACTTGACTAGCAGGTTCTCAAGATTTTGACTAGCAATTGTTATTCGTTGCTTAGCTACCAAGAACCGCTCATCATCTGGAAGCTCCAAACAAAGTGCGCTGAGAGCTCGCATATTCGCTGTCTTTTCAACAAGTTTTGATTCATCAGCCTGAGGAGTGACAGAAATATTTGCGAAAGTTCCCCCACCTGCGCCAAGGAATTTCGAAAATTCGAGGATTAGTTGACGAGCTTCTTTGAGGCTCTCACGAGGCACATTACGTCGCTCAAGTTGATCTCCAAGATGAATGATCTTACCAGACACAACATTTATCTTGGTGTCAAGGTCTTTGAACGTTTTACTAGCATCAGATAGTTGGCTACTTAATTTTCTTATTTTGTTAAGAAACTCATCATTTTCTTTCCGACATTGTACCTGTAAAGCATATGAAAGATCTTAAGTAGAAAATCCGAACTCAATTGGGTATAAGAGAACATATTATTATTTAAAATTACTTCAAGTCGTGCGGCCTCCGATATTAACTTCATTCGAGCGTTTTGAAGATCACTTAAAGACTTAAGGAAATAAGTCCGAAGTTTGGTTGAGTCGGCAAAAGCACTCGTGGTGATACCTGCCTTGTCCGTTAAACGGTCAATCAAAGATACTCCAAAGGAAAACTGGATAAAATGAATATTAAATGGAAGTTTAATTTACTTCACTGTCTTGGCAAGCATTTTCCATCTGTATGATATGACTGGAAAAACGACTGTGAGGATATGGCTATACGTAGTCGTTAAACGAATTATTTCAAGCGCCAATCATGAAATCAGAATAAGCACTAAATAGCGCCAGAGAGGAGTCTAAACCTTCATGTATTTTTTATGCTTCATCTGAAAATTATATTTTTCGATAAAACAGTTAATGTTATGTTTTAAAAGTGAACATTTTCAAGTTTTAATTGATTCACTGATATCGATGATAATGAACATTTTATTGTATCCATTCGCCTGGAATGCCTCAAGATGGCAAGTTTTAAAATATCTATTTATCGAATTAACTTACATACTTTTAACTCTTTGAAGTTGGATATTCATTATTTGACCCTCAAAGTGATTGTTTTCTAACAATACTTTTCAACGAATTTAAATCACATATCATTTTTTAGTTGGTTTTGTAACTCATCAAATCTAAAAAAATTTGATCATTTTTATGGTCTACCTCGCGAGTGTTCTTAATCGCATAGCTATAGTCCCAAGTGAGAAAAATAAATCATTCTAACACATTTTATTTCTATTAACGTAACTCTTTTCATCCTATGGCCGGATTCATCTACGCGTCAAAACATATAACTTTATGGATATTATCATTGGCGTATCAACAATATAATGATAGCAATTAAATAACATCATACCACTATCTTTTCAAAGATAAGTAACAACCGATGATCATTTGACCTTGAGTATGCTGAGGAATGAGTCCCTCTGCATTACCATCATTTTTATTTGATACACCACTAAAAGTCAAAATCTCTGCTTCAAAATGGTGCTTAATCCTGTGGTGACTTTAAGTCCTCAGTGGAGAACAATCGTCTATCCTCAGGTGATTTATTGTACTTAGCGAGTAATTAATTGGTCCCGAAGTGAATTTTTTAGGGGTTACTGTTCTCAGAAGCGAAGTCCTGAGATTTCCTATCTATTTATGATACTCATAATTGAAACAATACAGATTCATTTGAATGAGTATATGGGGACAAGATTGCTTTTAATTGCTCTAAGCTTTCTTTCTATTCTCCCTGTCCATTATCTTAACTTCTCTCCATACCTCATTGTGGTTTGCACAGCATAACTCGGGCTACACAATTCGTATATTCTTCTTATGCTGTGGTAAATTGTTAACCATTGGTTGAAACTATTGAAAGATTATTGGAATGTTTAATGAGTAGACATGATTCCATATTTTTGCAAATAAATTAAAGCACCACGACTCTATAAAGTCTTATTTCTCAATCGGAAAAGTAAAATACTTATTTATTTCAAATGTCAGGCTTTATGATAGTTATCATTAGCCCTTTAGCTGACTTCGGACTTCACAGAGGGGAGAAACATCAAAGTGGGAAAAATTCGAAAGGGGGGAACAGAAGAATGATTCACATATGTAAGAGACAGACACAAAGGCAAAGAAAAGGTAGGGTGAGCACTGTGGAAGTGGTGGAATATGACATACAGTGGGATCATGGTAGTTTGAAGTTAGAAGTCAACTGCCGATTTATAGACTTTTTTGTCGTATGAATATGTCGTCCAGGGTTCACTACGTGGAGATAGGTCTGTCGCACAAATGACCGGCGTTTTGATAGTCATCATTAGCCCTTTAGTTGACTTCAGGCTTCACAGGGGGGAAGGAACATCAAAGTGAAAAAAGTCGAGAGGACGGAGGAACAGAAGAGTGTTTCAAAGATGTAAAAGAGACAGACAAAGGTAGGAAAAGGTGAGATGAGTACTGTGAAAGAATTCGAATATGCTATACAGTGGGGTCATAGAGATTTGAATTGAGGAGTCAACTGTCG